CTATGGTACCCATAAGGTACCATACCTTTGTCCACATGGACCAATGAAAAGGTAGCAGTTGAATTATTTAAATCTAAATTAAAATTGATAAAGTGATGTGGTCCAATCAAATGAATGCTAGGTACGGTACCCCTGTTTTTAGAAAGGTACCGGAGTTGTCACCAATATTGAAAGGTTCTGGTTCGAGTTACGGTTAAACCACGGATGGGTTTAGCACTCCCTATGTGTAGACCTGTCTCCGGCTTCCAAATTAATCGGAATCGGTGCCTAAACTGGAACTGGAATTTGAGTTTTTTGACGAAATAGAACAGCCGATTCCATTTCGAACTAGACACTTTTGGTCCGGGGCGGAGCCAGAAAAAGGAGTGAGGGGGTCGGAATTTAATTATATACTGCTAATTTAGGAGCTAAATGCAATTGGAAATAAAATATATGGGATTAAAGGGCATGAATCACCCGTACCTCTCTTATTCACACAAGGAGTATTTATATACAATTCCAAGCTATCTAACTATTAGGGTTAGATATAATAAACATATAAGAATTAGCCCATAATAAACCCCTAGGCCCATACACGGTTAACACCCCCCCTCAAGTTGGAGCATGCGGTTCAAAAATGCCCAACTTGCGTAGTAGAAATAGAAATTGTTGCTTGCCTAAGGCCTTGGTAAAAATATCCGCCAGTTGATCATGAGTAGAGACATGTCTGGCGGTGAGCAAACCAGTTTGAATAGCGTCGCGGATGTAGTGACAATCGACCTCGATATGTTTAGTGCGCTCATGAAAGACCGGATTATGTGCAATATGTAACGCGGACCGACTATCACAAGCAAGAGTCATTGGTTGAGGATGAGAGATACCGAGACTTAAGAGAAGCCCCTTAGCCCATTTGAGCTCAGCCGTGGTAGCAGCCATGGATCGATATTCCGCCTCTGTGGAGGAGCGAGACACTGTATTTTGCTTCTTAGTCTTCCAGGAAATAGGAGAAGTACCAAGAAAAATTACCCAACCAGTGAGAGATCGTCGTGTAAGAGGACAACTAGCCCAGTCGGAATCACACCAGCCTGTAAGAGTAAGATCACTCTTAGAGCTAAGAAGGATACCCTGAGCCGGAGTGCCCTTAAGGTAACGAACCACTCGGAGAGCCGCCATCCAATGATCCATACGTGGCCCCTGCATAAACTGGGATAAAATATGAACGGCATAAGCTATATCCGGACGAGTGAACGAAAGATATATCAGGCGACCAACAAGACGACGATAGGATTCAGGATTATTCATGAGAGCACTCTTGGAAAGAGCCAAATTGTGATTTTGTTCCATAGGAAAAAGAGCAGGTTTCGCACCGAGTAAACCTGTTTCAGAAATAATATCTAGAGAATATTTGCGTTGGCAAAGAAAAATGCCATCGCCACTGCGTGCCACCTCAATACCAAGAAAGTACTTCAAAATGCCGAGATCCTTCATATGGAAACACTGATGCAAGTAGGATTTAAATTCTGAAATTGCTCTTGAGTCATTGCCCGCTATGATCAAATCATCCACGTAAATAAGAACATATAACTGCACATCCCCTTTACGGAGTGTGAAAAGAGAGTAGTCGGAGTAAGACTGCAGAAATCCATACTTCTTAAGAGAAGTAGTTAATTTTGCGAACCAACAACGAGGAGCTTGTCTCAAACCATATAAAGATTTCTGCAACCGACATACCTGTCCCGGATGAGAGGGTGCGAACCCCGGGGGAGGTTTCATATAGACTTCCTCTTGCAAGTCTCCATGCAGAAAGGCATTGTGAACGTCCATTTGATGAAGAGTCCAGTTGCGAGCCGCGGCTACAGCTAAGAGCATTCGAACAGTAACCATTTTGGCTACCGGGGCAAAAGTTTCATTGTAATCGATACCCTCCTGCTGATGATTACCGAAGACAACTAACCGTGCTTTTAAGCGCTCAATAGTGCCATTAGAATGGTATTTGATTTTATAAACCCATTTGCATCCGAGAGCTTTCTTACCTGGCGGGAGAGACTCGAGAACCCAAGTATGATTATTTTCAAGAGCACGGATTTCAGCCATCATAGCTTCGCGCCAGCCCGCATCAGTCATGGCCTCTTTAAAGGATTGGGGTTCACGACCTGCAAGTAAAGCTCCAAGAAAACAACGATGGCCAATAGAGTACTTGTCATATTTTACATAATCAGCTATAGGATAAGAGGTACCTGAGGAGGTGACGGAAGAGGGGGGCGACGGAGATGGGCTGGTTGCATGCACAGAATGGGTGACAAAGTCACGTAATAGCACGGATGGACGTTTGGTGCGCAAACCGCGACCGAGTGCAAGAGTAGCAGACTGATCATGTGGAGAAGATGTCTCGGCCGAGTGGGAACCGCCAGGTGGCAACTCCGATGGCATCTCCGGCGTAACAACAATAGGATCAGGATCATGTATCACCGGGGTTGGCAGCTCGTCGATGGACGTATGATCTGCCCGGGGCGAGAGGCTCTCTTCCATAAAGGGAAAATCTCCCTCATGAAAGATTACATCACGTGAAACAAACATATCCCCCGTGCTCCAATCCAAAATTTTCCATCCCTTTTTACCATGAGGATAGCCCATGAACACACCACGTCTACTACGCGGGAAAAATTTATTTTCACGAGAGCGTACATTGTGAGCAAAACAGAGGCATCCAAAAACCCGCAAATGAGAGTAATCAGGTGGGACCCCATTAAGTAGCTCGTAAGGTGTCTTCCCGTCCAATATTCCAGATGGTGTCCGATTAATAAGATGGACAGCGGCCAAAGCACATTCGCCCCAAAATTTAATAGGCATATGAGCCTGAAACATTAGGGCTCGTGCCACATTTAGAATATGGCGATGCTTGCGTTCCACTTTCCCATTTTGCTGGGGCGTGTGGACACAGGAAGTTTGAAACAGAATACCATGGGCATCAAAATAAGGCAGCATGCATTTAAATTCGGTCCCGTTGTCACTTCTCACAGTTTTGACAGATACATGATATTGATTTCCAATCATAGCAAAGAATGACAAGAAAAAATGATGTACCTCCTTTTTGTCACGTAATAAATAAACCCATACAGCCCGTGAAAAATCATCCACAATCGTCAGAAAATAGGTTGCACCACAAGTAGACGGGGTCTTATATGGACCCCACAAATCACAGTGAATAAGCTCGAAAATATTACTAGTTTTATGAGTACTACTAGGAAAGGAATCACGTGCTTGCTTTGCTTGCGGACACACATCGCAAACTTTATTTAATTGTTTCTGAGAGGAACTAGAAATAAAAGTAGGTAATAACTTCAGAACCCGATCAGAAGGATGACCCAACCGCCGATGCCACAACTCAAACTCTGTTATTGCTGCAGACACCTGAACCTTATGTAAAACTGGCACCCTTCTGAAGTAGAATAGCCCATCCCGTCGCTCACCGGCTCCAATCAGGCTCCTCGAGGACAGGTCCTGTATAGCACATAAATTATTAGTAAAAATGACAAGACATTTAAGATGATCCGTTAATTGAGAAACGGAAATAAGATGACAACAAAGTCCTGGCACATAAAGAACTTTGTCAAGAGTAAAACCCTCAGCCAGTGTGACTCGGCCAGCCACGGCCGCAGCTGATAACCGCTTTCGCGGCGTTGTAGTAAAACGGAGTCTAACCTTTCGGTTTTTCCCCGAGTATCGTGTCTCTCGAGGAATGGCGGAGGAGCTTCTTGATTTCAAGTCCAGTCACAGGTTATCGCAAATTATTGGAAGCTTTCCAAATTAAAACTTTTGATTGATTTTCTAAACTACTTTTTGGAAAAGAAAGTAAATTAAATTGTGCAAATACTAATGATGGCTCAAAAATAGACTAAAGGAAAAAAATAGAATATTGAACTTAAATGGATTGATGCAAATAAGGGCAATGAATTGAGTAATTAGAAATGGATATATTCTTGGACCTAGTAATTAGGGAAATTAAAACTAAAATTGGACTAATAATTTCTTTCCTCATAGACAAGAATAGAAACTATTTTCATTAATTTATCCTATTTCTAGGTGTCATTAATGTGTTCAAAATGGTTGGCTTGAATTAAATTCTAACCTCATAGACAAGGTAGAAATAATTCTCCAATATTTTAATTAATAAAAATAGCCAAATTCATTAACTAGTTAAACTCATTATTTAAGCAATTGAATTTATCTCTCATAGACAAGATGTAAATCCCTTTCATTAAATTATCCTATTTCTAGGCCTTATTAATGTGCTTGAATATGGTTGGCTTAAATTATTTTCTAATCTCATAGACAAGTTAGAAATAATTTTCCAAGAATTTAATTAATGAATATGGCTAACAATTATTAATTACTATTTCATCATTTCAAACAACTAGTCCAAATTATGAATTTTAATCCCTAATTTTCGGTCAACAAGTCAATCCATATTCCTTTAGTCAATTCATGCCCAAAACAAATTTAGCTAATAAACATCATTTTTTCATTTAACAATACAATGAATAAATTCAACATTAACAAGGAATTAAGCATGTACAAAAATAATATTTTGCCAAAATAAACTTGTAGAACTAAAATATCACCTTCTGGAATTTTTCCCGAATTTTATAACCTAAAATCCAATTTTAACAACTAATTGATAATTTTCCCAATATTAACTAGCAAATACAAAAAAAGGCAACTACAAATATTCTAAATTCGTTCTAAATTTTATATTGACTACTAGGAGTGATATTACTGTGAATTAAATTGGAATTAGGACAGAAACTAATTTTTTGCCTTTTTTGAGTATTTAATTTAATTTATGCAATAATAACAACTAAATGCCGGAATTAATTAAAATTTACTTCTACTTCGTAAAAATTAACTTTGTTTTGATAAATAACTACCTTGAAGCTAGTAAACAACTATATAATTAATTGGAATGGATTTAATGTCAACAACTATTTTATTCAAATTTAAGAAGAAAATGCGAAATAGTGGAATAATTTTCTGGAAATTTTAGAAGCACAGATAGAAAAAAATAAGTACAGATTCAGATTCTACTCATTGAAAGGATGAAAATACATATAAAGAACTCACAATTTGGAGCTAAAATGAGAAAGATATGAAAGATTGAAGTTGAAGGTGCAACAATGGTGAAAATCCGAGCTTTGAGGAGGAAGAAGACGCCCTTTTTGATCTGATTTGGGCTTGAAATTGGTGGTTTTGAGTTGGGGATGGAAGAGGGCTTTTATAGCCGAAGATTTTTGGAAGGCGGCCAAGAAGGCGGCCGCCCTCCGGCCATGGCCGGCAGCCTTCGGTCACTTCTCCGACAAAGCTTCGTGCATGGGTCGATTCTGCCGCAGGCGTCCACGGTAGGCGGCCGCCCTCCTTGGCCGCCTCCCGTCTTGTCTCAGCTACCGGCAGCTCGTAAATCACATCCCGCCGCAGGCGGCCACAGAGGGCGGCCGCCCTCCGGCCCCCGTCGGCAGCCTTCCATCATTTTGTCGCCATGCAAAGTGTTAAGTGCTGAAACTGTCAAAAACTCGTAGGCGCCCAGAAAGGCGGCCGCCTGCTCGACCTCCTTACGTCAAATTGAAAAGTTGTCTTTACCAAAGTTGTAGCTCTCTTTCTTGGCTAACTACTGGAATTTGAATCGCATTCATTGGATTTGTAGTTTATGAGATATGGTCAAAACGGTGACCACATGTCACTTTCCATCGCAACTGCAAATGTCTGACTTCTTTGAGCAATATGTCCACTCTAAGGTGGTTATTTGGCTCTGTGTTCTTCATAAGAGTTGTAGATCAGGAAGATATCAATGTAATGAAACTCGTATCACGAACGTTGGACAATTATGCGCAAAGTTATGATTACAACACGAACATGTGTCTCTATGCATCGTCCATTTTCATCAAAAGTAGCCATATATGTGACTCCTTCGTGGTTTTGAACTTCCTTGCATGATTTGTTCATCACTTGGACTCTTTTCATTGAACAATTGGTCAATATATCTTGCAAACTTCCGTAGCAATTCATTTGTTGGCAAAAAGTGCCACTTTCTTCATGTAATTGACCCGAAATTTCGCAAAACATGTTATGAATGTGATTTTTACCTGATTTCATGAAAATTGAACCACAATATCTAAAAAATGCCTTTTCGTTCTATTTTCAATCAAAAATCGCTTAATTTTGATAAGAAAAATAAGTACAAAAATGGACTTATCAATCTCCTCACACTTAAGCGTTGCTTGTCCTCAAGCGACAAATTGGTTGGAAACACACTCAGAAGGGTAAAACCTGACTATATTACAATCGAGTTGCTATTAAAGATGTACAAACAAAAACCTCTTATTTTATTCTCAATTTTTTTAACATTTTAGAAAAATCACCCAAAAATATAAGAATTTAAAATTATTATTACTAAAGAAAAACTAGGGATTATGTTAAACCACCAATCAATTCCTTATCCCAAGGTTTTCATTATTCTAAATTGGACATACATCTTGTTCACCATGTTTTTTTTGTCTCCTTTCTACTCATGTTGGCGGTGTTATCCCATGGTAAATGTATACTTCATTCTCACAGACTATGATTAACGAATGAAGCAGAGCCCCTTTTCGGAGATGGAATTGTCCTATAACAATGAGTTTTGGAGTTTTATTAATACTAGCATTTTGTTTTAATGAATAAAATGAATGTCCAATTAAAACAAATTCAGCCCTTTACATTCACAACCAAAAACCCATAACAAATTCAAGTTTTCTAAAAATATTAATAAAAGTAAATTCTTATAATAGGGGAGATTATCTAAGCTATTATGTGATTGATAACAAATTGAGAAATTAATGTTTCATATAAAAAATAGTAAAAAGATTGTTCTAAAATAAGGTTTTAGCTTTTGAGTGTAAAACGCAACGGTCTTTTTAAGGCAACGGCGTTAAAGGCATTTTTAAGGCACAAAGTTTAGAAATAAAGGCATTTTTTTTGTTCTTTCCTCACACTTGAGTTTTGAAAAGATTTTGTGAAGAGGAACGATGAAAACAAGGAAAAAATTCCTTACATCATCCATAGTTAGTTTTGTTTCGAAATCGGGTCAAAGCGTTCAACTCACAATTAATTTATTGAAGCACAACCTGCAAACACACAAAACAAACAAACAAAGTTATGAAAAACATGGGTTGCCTCCCAAGAAGCGCTTCTTTAACGTCACTAGCTTGACGTTTGCGAGAGAACTCTCAGTTATGCATGTCAGTGATGGTGCACTCATCATTAGTGCCTCCACCTTATCCTCCAGGTATGCCGTCAGATGGCGTAGACCCTTGAACTCTCGTAACCACCAAAATGTGGTATAATCTTCAAAGAACACATCGTTCGAACAAGGAATTAGCACATATCCTGCATGACTCTCATTAGTATAATCAACAAGTATTTCAAGATCAGGTGCCTCTGGTGTCTCCAACCACTCATAGAAAGCCTTCAAGGTAATAGTAGCTAGAATAGAGATTCCATACTCCTCTTGATGGGTTTTCTCTTCTTCATTTATGCCCTCAGCATGAAAATCACAAGGTTTTGACTCTGTGTCACTTTCTAAGAGTGCATCCCAACTTCCTAACTCACTACCTCCACAAATATCATCCAGGCAAACAGATCCTTGCCTAGCACAACTATGCTCATCATGATCAAGTAGAGAATCAAAGAAGGCATCATCGGACATTGTTTCCTCCATATCACAAGTTTCATCAATTACTTCAACAAGCGTTTGGGCTCGTGTAGGATCGAAATCTTCATCAAGGCTATTCTTCAGGGACTCTTTAAGTGAGAGGTCATCCATAGATGATAAGGTAGGTTCCTCATCACAAAGTATCTCATCATCCATGATTTCTTCATCAACCTCATTGGGCACTTTCATATGGGGCTCTTCAGGACTAAGTTCTGCGAGGATAGGCTCTCTCTCAGTAGCAATGAGAGGCTTAAAAGAAATAGGGGTGAGAAGAGTTTCAACCATCTCGCCCATGGTTACCGCAGTCTCCTCCTTAGATTTAGCACCTTCCTCGTATGTCTCCTGTTGAACTTTGTGGTCATTGTCATAAATGATTTTTTCAAACAATTCCTTGATACTCTCATCATGAGATGCTAGTTCAATCCTTGTCTTTCTTAAGTCTTCCACAAAATCGAGTAAGGATGATTTTAATTCTTCGAGCTCGTGTTGAGGATAAGCTGAAATTCCAGAGTCATTTTCGAAGGAGTACTCGTTTGTGCTGGTGTAATGATTTTCTATCCTTTCATGGTAATTTTCATGATAATTAAAATCATCATGATAATTACCTTGATAGGCGAAATCATCACAACCTTCAAAGTCTTGCCCTTGGTGGAAATAATTATCTTGAAATTGGTAATCTCCATATCCCAAAGGTGGATTTTCGCACCATTGATTGTTATCCTCATAACCTTGTCCATAGTATCCTTCATTTTGATTATTTTGAAAACATTGTTGTTCATAGTATGGATAGTGATATGGTGGTTGAGAATGAAAGCGTTCACTTGAGTAATCCATGAGGAAATCTCAAGCAAACACATGAGAACAGAACAAAAAGGAAAAAGAAAGTCTCCCTAACTTGAATTCGCCCATGCTAAAATCAAAATCAAGAAATCATCGTGCCATTCCCCGGCAACGGCGCCATTTGATAACCGCTTTCGCGGCGTTGTAGTAAAACGGAGTCTAACCTTTCGGTTTTTCCCCGAGTATCGTGTCTCTCGAGGAATGGCGGAGGAGCTTCTTGATTTCAAGTCCAGTCACAGGTTATCGCAAATTATTGGAAGCTTTCCAAATTAAAACTTTTGATTGATTTTCTAAACTACTTTTTGGAAAAGAAAGTAAATTAAATTGTGCAAATACTAATGATGGCTCAAAAATAGACTAAAGGAAAAAAATAGAATATTGAACTTAAATGGATTGATGCAAATAAGGGCAATGAATTGAGTAATTAGAAATGGATATATTCTTGGACCTAGTAATTAGGGAAATTAAAACTAAAATTGGACTAATAATTTCTTTCCTCATAGACAAGAATAGAAACTATTTTCATTAATTTATCCTATTTCTAGGTGTCATTAATGTGTTCAAAATGGTTGGCTTGAATTAAATTCTAACCTCATAGACAAGGTAGAAATAATTCTCCAATATTTTAATTAATAAAAATAGCCAAATTCATTAACTAGTTAAACTCATTATTTAAGCAATTGAATTTATCTCTCATAGACAAGATGTAAATCCCTTTCATTAAATTATCCTATTTCTAGGCCTTATTAATGTGCTTGAATATGGTTGGCTTAAATTATTTTCTAATCTCATAGACAAGTTAGAAATAATTTTCCAAGAATTTAATTAATGAATATGGCTAACAATTATTAATTACTATTTCATCATTTCAAACAACTAGTCCAAATTATGAATTTTAATCCCTAATTTTCGGTCAACAAGTCAATCCATATTCCTTTAGTCAATTCATGCCCAAAACAAATTTAGCTAATAAACATCATTTTTTCATTTAACAATACAATGAATAAATTCAACATTAACAAGGAATTAAGCATGTACAAAAATAATATTTTGCCAAAATAAACTTGTAGAACTAAAATATCACCTTCTGGAATTTTTCCCGAATTTTATAACCTAAAATCCAATTTTAACAACTAATTGATAATTTTCCCAATATTAACTAGCAAATACAAAAAAAGGCAACTACAAATATTCTAAATTCGTTCTAAATTTTATATTGACTACTAGGAGTGATATTACTGTGAATTAAATTGGAATTAGGACAGAAACTAATTTTTTGCCTTTTTTGAGTATTTAATTTAATTTATGCAATAATAACAACTAAATGCCGGAATTAATTAAAATTTACTTCTACTTCGTAAAAATTAACTTTGTTTTGATAAATAACTACCTTGAAGCTAGTAAACAACTATATAATTAATTGGAATGGATTTAATGTCAACAACTATTTTATTCAAATTTAAGAAGAAAATGCGAAATAGTGGAATAATTTTCTGGAAATTTTAGAAGCACAGATAGAAAAAAATAAGTACAGATTCAGATTCTACTCATTGAAAGGATGAAAATACATATAAAGAACTCACAATTTGGAGCTAAAATGAGAAAGATATGAAAGATTGAAGTTGAAGGTGCAACAATGGTGAAAATCCGAGCTTTGAGGAGGAAGAAGACGCCCTTTTTGATCTGATTTGGGCTTGAAATTGGTGGTTTTGAGTTGGGGATGGAAGAGGGCTTTTATAGCCGAAGATTTTTGGAAGGCGGCCAAGAAGGCGGCCGCCCTCCGGCCATGGCCGGCAGCCTTCGGTCACTTCTCCGACAAAGCTTCGTGCATGGGTCGATTCTGCCGCAGGCGTCCACGGTAGGCGGCCGCCCTCCTTGGCCGCCTCCCGTCTTGTCTCAGCTACCGGCAGCTCGTAAATCACATCCCGCCGCAGGCGGCCACAGAGGGCGGCCGCCCTCCGGCCCCCGTCGGCAGCCTTCCATCATTTTGTCGCCATGCAAAGTGTTAAGTGCTGAAACTGTCAAAAACTCGTAGGCGCCCAGAAAGGCGGCCGCCTGCTCGACCTCCTTACGTCAAATTGAAAAGTTGTCTTTACCAAAGTTGTAGCTCTCTTTCTTGGCTAACTACTGGAATTTGAATCGCATTCATTGGATTTGTAGTTTATGAGATATGGTCAAAACGGTGACCACATGTCACTTTCCATCGCAACTGCAAATGTCTGACTTCTTTGAGCAATATGTCCACTCTAAGGTGGTTATTTGGCTCTGTGTTCTTCATAAGAGTTGTAGATCAGGAAGATATCAATGTAATGAAACTCGTATCACGAACGTTGGACAATTATGCGCAAAGTTATGATTACAACACGAACATGTGTCTCTATGCATCGTCCATTTTCATCAAAAGTAGCCATATATGTGACTCCTTCGTGGTTTTGAACTTCCTTGCATGATTTGTTCATCACTTGGACTCTTTTCATTGAACAATTGGTCAATATATCTTGCAAACTTCCGTAGCAATTCATTTGTTGGCAAAAAGTGCCACTTTCTTCATGTAATTGACCCGAAATTTCGCAAAACATGTTATGAATGTGATTTTTACCTGATTTCATGAAAATTGAACCACAATATCTAAAAAATGCCTTTTCGTTCTATTTTCAATCAAAAATCGCTTAATTTTGATAAGAAAAATAAGTACAAAAATGGACTTATCAGCAGCCACAGTACGTCCGTCCGGCAAACCGACCGGACATGAGGAAACAGGAACGGGGTCGGTAATACATGTGATATCTCCTGTAACATGATGTGATGCTCCGGTGTCGATAATCCATTGATTCGAAGAACACATACCCGTCATCCGGTCATTAGACCGAGTATCGGTTGGAATAAGACTAAGGAGGGCCTGCACTTGCTCAGCGCTCAAAGTTACCGGCCCGCTGCGACTGCCAGAATTACCCACACCTGAACTCGAGGCAGAAGACCCTTCGGCCGCCGTGATAGCATGTGTACTTACTGCCCCTCCACGACCGGCCGTCGTGCCCTTGCTCTTACGTCGCTCCTCCCACCATTCCGGATAGCCGTGAAGCTTGAAGCATGTCCCTACTTCATGGCCTTTCTGTTTGCAGTGGGAGCACGTAGGTCTTGAGCGATCTGATTTATCCACACGTCCTTTAGCTAGTCGGTCCGCCTGAAGGGCAAAAGCGTGTACGTCCCCGACTGCCGCTGTAGCCTTTTCACGAACAAGAGCCCTGGACGTCTCTTCTTGCAGAAACGCTTGAAGCACGCGTTCGATGCTTGGCAACGGTTCTTGTGAGAGAAGATTTGAACGCACAGTCCCATACAAATCATCGTCAATGCCGACGAGGAACTGATGAAGCCGTTCTTCCTCCCTCTCGGCAGCCATTTTTCCTGCAATATTACACGTGCAGTTTGTGCAAGTGCACGTCGGAAGTGGCTTTAGCCGGTACAACTCGTCATAGAGTGTCATCAGCGCCGTGTAATAGGCATCAACACTCATAGCCTTGGTCTGTTTACATGCCGAAATCGACGCCTTCAATTGCTGAATCCGGGGTCCGTTCGCCACACTATACCGTTTTTCCAAGTAAACCCAAAGGTTCCGAGCATTCTCGTGGAACGGTGTCGTCGAAACTACGGATGGTTCCATGCTACGCAGGAGCCAGGAAACCACCATAGAATTATTAGTGTCCCAGTCGGCTTGACGAGCGGCCTCCTCCGGTCGTGTAAGCGTGCCGTCAACGAACACATTTTTCCGTCGAGCCTTCAACGAGAGTAGGATAGCACGTGACCAAGCCACGTAATTATCCCCTTTGAAAATAACGTGGGTTATAAGATTGCCCGGTTGATCGCCGGAGCCAAGAAAATACGGAGAAGATGGTTCCACCATGATCGCCGGTCAGCCGTAGCACGCTGGTGTACGGCGAAGAGAAGCAGAGAGAAGCGATGCTCACGTCCTATCCGCGCAAGGGCTCTGATACCATGCTAATTTAGGAGCTAAATGCAATTGGAAATAAAATATATGGGATTAAAGGGCATGAATCACCCGTACCTCTCTTATTCACACAAGGAGTATTTATATACAATTCCAAGCTATCTAACTATTAGGGTTAGATATAATAAACATATAAGAATTAGCCCATAATAAACCCCTAGGCCCATACACGGTTAACATATACAGTATCAAAAAGATGGATATTTATTATACAATAATTGAGTCAAATGTTTCATATGTAGCTCAGATAAATGATAATTTAATGAGCATTTTTTCTGTTAATTTATTGATATATCTGTAATGTATCATAATGTTCACACAACTAATGACTGAATATGGTGTTTTATTTTTAATTTTAAGAATATAATCAACGTCATACATCAAATTTTGTTTATTTCAAGTTAAGATGATGTTAATTTTTCCAGAAGTCATAATTTTTTACTCGTAATGAGTTACGAGATCCATAATATATCAAATCGAAGATATTTCAGAGCTCTATATTCTTGAACTTTCAGCGGGGTCGGTTGACCACCCTGACCCCCCTTAGCTTCGCCCCTGATTTTGGTTCAGAATCGTCCATTTTTTAAATTTAGAAAAAAGCACCCTTAGTCACTTTGGTTGCATGCTTAGAGTTGTCAAACGGGTCAACCCAACCCAACTCGTAACGGGTTATGCTTTATGTGGGTTGGGTGACTTGGGTCAAGCCAACCCGTTTAATAACAGCCTAAAATTTCTACAACCCTAAACCAATCCACCTAACTCATGGGTTAAATGGGTTGGCCCGCTGGCCGACGTAAAAAACTTTAAAAATGATTATCTTGAAGTGTATATTATATTAGTAAAGGAGATACTCCGTGTAAGAAATCAAAATACAAAGAACCCAATACTTTTTAAGTTTAATTAAAAATACCTAGTATTAAATAATTGTACTAGTTATACCAGAATTTGAAAAATATAAAGGAATATTTAACAAAAATACTCATTGTTTAAAAGTAAAGATGAACTTAAATTTTTTGAGTTATTATTTGTACACCATGACTAGCTACTAATTGTTAAATATTAATCGAACTTGATATAAAATACATGTTTTAACAATTTGTTTGAATATTTATTATAAAAATAATAATTATTTTGTAATGGTTGTAATTTTTTAATTGTAATTATAATTTTTTTTGTAGTTAAAGAAAAATATTAAAAACAATAAGAGAAAAATGATATGTTTGTATATTGGCCCGCAGGCCAACCCATAATTGGTTTGGAATTGGGTTTTTGATGTATTTTTGATGACTGAGCCGGGCCTATCCCGAAAATTTTTCCCAAAATAATGCTAATTAAATAAATAATTCCAAAAATACTGATGGGTTAGAAATAATTCCCAAAATACTGTTGGATTAACCATGGTTAAGAAAAGCCGCCACTTGAAGTGGCGGCTCTTCTCTTACAGTACAAAAGCCGCCACTTCAAGTGACGGCTCTTCTCTTACCGCACATTTTGTACATCTATAAAACGTAGTATGTTTCAAGAATTTTTTTAACATCTTCCCGATTGAGTTTTGAGCTGAAATTTGGTAT